GTGGCGGGGGTCGCGGGGCCCTTGGCCCTGCGCGCGCCGGGCGCGTCCTCGGCCAGGTGGCGGCCGGAGCAGTAGAGGCGCTTGTGCACATAGTAGTTGTTGATGTTGTTGAAGGTGATCTCGCACTCAAAGCACGTGGCACCCTTGGGGGTGGGCGTGCCCGCGAACAGCCCCGGGGCGCCCTGGCCCTGCTTCAGCCGGCTGTGCACCAGCTCGGACATCTTGGCCAGGATCTCCGAGGCCTGCGGGCCGGCGTCCGCGCCGAACACAAACTGCGGCAGGAAGAGCGGCCCTGCCGGCGCGCCCAGGTCCCCGGGCGCTGGGCTGCAGACGGGCGACGGGCTGGAGCGCTCGGCCTTGACTTGCACCGGTGGTGGGCTGCGCGGCGGCGATGGCGTGCGCGAGGGAGCCCTGGGCAGCGTGGGCGCGGCCTCGGGCTCCTCCTCTGCCTCCACCTTGATCCTTGGGGCCACTGCGGGGGGCTCACCGCCGTTCTGCGTGGCCACACAGGCCTCTCCGTTTAAGGCCTCCTTCCTCTCCAGGCCTGGGAATCCGGTGGGCGTCAGATCCGCGGGGGCGAGGGGGCCGTGTAAGGCCGGGTGCTGTGGGAAGCTGGCCAGGCCATCTGGAAAAGACCCCAGAGCCGCTATCAGGCCGGAGCTGGGCCAGGGCAGGGGGGCATGGGAGGCAAGAAGAGGGTCAGCTGGGTCTCTGGAGAGGGGGTTTGGAACCAGGCGAACGTCGACCCCTGCGGGGCCGCCAATCCCAAGGCCAGCAGTGGAGACCACCAGGCCCAGGGAGGGAAGAAGACCGGTCTGTCTGCACAGGGGAGGGGAAACTGCTGCGCTCTGGGAAACCCACAGGGGCGGTCGTACCCTGTCCTGCTATGAGCCTGAGTGGATGGTGACTCAGGCCAGACCCAGGCTTCCTCTTTTTCGGGTGGGGCTGCTCACCAGCGGGGGCCTTGGCAGCGGGGTACCCTGCACCTGGGGAGCAGGGCTCCCCCTTGCAGCCTGGCTGGCAGGTCATGTGGCTGGTCACCAGGTGGCTACAGAGGATGTCCCTCGTGGTGGAGATGAAGCCGCAGCTGTGACACACACCTGCAGTGGCCCATGGTTGTCAGGGACTGGGCGAGGGTGTCCCCCCTTGGCCCTTCCACCCGCTCCCCGCCCACCTACCGCTCAGGGTGTCGGTATGCACCTTGAGGTGCCGCTCGCAGTTGGCCTTGGTGGTGAAGGCCGACAGGCAGATCAAGCACACAAAGGGGCGTTCTCCTGGAACATGGCATGCGTGAGGGGGGTGCGGGGACCCCTGCCCCGCACCCAGCCCCCACCTCTCCCTTTACCCCTCCCAGTGGCTTTGCTGCGATAGCTCTCTTAGGGGTGCACCGCCTGGTGAGAATCCTGTGTGTGTGTGTGTGTGTAGTGTGTGCGGCCCGGGGGATTTTAAAGACACCACAGTGTTGGAAGGTGAGAAGAAAGCAGGGGGAGGGGCTGGACAGAGGCAGAGGGCAATGCGGAGCTGCAGAAGGGGGGGAGGGCCTGGGGTTCCCAGTGGGCTGGGCGTTGTGTGCGCGCACGCAGGGTGGAGCGGGGCGGCTCACCGCTGTGGCTGCGCATGTGGATCTCCAGGGAGCTGGCGCTGGGGCAGCTCTTGCGGCACTGTGGGAAGGGGCAGACTCTCTCGTTGGGGTAGGCTTCCTTGGGCTTCTCCTCGGCGGGGGCGGGAGCGGGGGAGCCGGCGCCCTGGCGGCTGGCACAGTAGTAGAGCAGGTGAGCCTGCAGGTTGCGTTCGCTGCGGTACCAGATGCCGCAGTCCTTGCAGGGGAAGATGTCCTCTGGGGGCGAGAGCATGCGGCCGCTGAGCTTCGGCCCCTGGGGCCTGAGTCTGCCATCCCTCTATCCCCACCACCTTGGAAGCCCCCCACCCAGTTCTCTCTCACCCTTCCCCTTCGTGGAACTGTGAACCCCTCCTTTCTGTGTGTGTGTGTGTGAACAGGTGCATGAGAGTGAAGGGGGGTGTGGACAGATAGGCAGGTGGGAGTGGGTGTGCCCAGGTGAGTGGGAGCATAGGGACCTTGTGGCTGGGTGGCATCAAGCTTGGACTGGGTAAGCGCTTAGCACCAGATGGGCTTCTGGAGGGTGAGCACAGGACTCTGGCCAAGTGGACAGAGGGAGAGCCCTCCTGTTTTCCACCTGACCGGACCTCTTGGCTCCAGCCACCTGCCAATGGCGATGGCACCAGGCACTCCATTGGTGGGCTTGCTGAAGGTGCTGTTGTCATTGGGCTGGGGGGTGGGGGTGTGCATTGTGTGGAGTTCCCTGGAGAGGCCCATTCTGGCTTGGACACCTGCCCCCAGCCAGCTTCTGCGGTCTCTGATCTGGGCCCTGAGTACAGGGTTCTGGGGTCCTGGGGGGCTTATCAGGCTCTGAGACCTGCTGTACTCAGGACACAGCCTCCAGACAGCGGGGTTCTCGACCAGGTTGGGCCTCGGCTGGAGCCTGGGCCATTCAGGGTCACTGGTGGGACAATGCTTTTGGCTGGGACTCCGGGGGGGCAGGGGGCGGTCGGGGGGGGTAAGGTGGGGACTCAGAGTTTGGCTGCAGCTCTGAGTCTTACAGAGGGTGGTGGTGGTCCCTGGGGGCTGAGTGTGGACAGGCCTGCCCAGGCAACCAGGGAGCCTGCACACGAGGTGTGCAAATGCCCAGGCCTCCACTTGCCCGGAGCCTGCCCTGGACACAGCCTCCAGCCATCACCCCACCTCCCAGCCCAGAGACACTGCTATCTTCCCGAGCGGGTTCCTGAGGGCCCGAGTGAAGGGGCCGCTTCACACCCGTCCTGTCTGCTTTCCTCTGCATCAAAGCTCTTTACCCTTCCAGGAGCTGAGAGCTACTGCCTGAGGGCACTGGTTCCTGCTGGCACTGCCACCCTGGTGAAGCCAGACCTAGGCGCCAGGGGCTTTCAGTTGGGGCCACTGGCTAAGTGTGAGTACATTCTCACAGCAACCCCTAGACTCCAGGAGGGTCCTTGTAACAGGCAGCCTGGGGATATTTAGTGACACCCAGGGGCATTTCTGCTAGTCACAGTCAGGAGGGGGTGCTGCTGGCATGTGGAGGGGGCATGACACCCCCAGTGTCAGTAGGGCTGCCCTGGAGAAGGCCCGCTCAGCCCCAGAGCCAGGCAGAGCGTAGACTGGTTCTGGCCCACCCAGCCAGGTAGTGTAGGCCAGAGCCTGTTTGCTGGTTTGACACCCTGGGCTATGGCACTGAGCTCCTGTCCCCATCTCTGGTGAAGACCCATGCGGCAGGTCCCCTACCCCCACATCAGCATCTGCAGACCTGGCCTGGCCCCCTCCTGGGGACTCTCTGGCTCCTGACCCTGAAGACATGTCTACAGCCCCAGCCTAGCTGGCTCTGTGGTTGGGGGTGCTCCAAGCAGGTGAGTGTGTACTCACTGTTGACCACGGCTGTGGCCAGGATGGACGCCATGCCGGCCTGCTGAGGCAGGAGCTGGATGTCTGAGGGGGTGGGGGCAGGGGCCTGGCCCTTGGCCTCCTCCGGTTCCCTCTTCCTGAGTGGGCTGGGGGCGCTGGGAGGCTCAGCTGAGAGGTGCACGGTCAGCGGCCCACCGGCCGGCACAGGCCTGGTGATCTTGCACCAGAGTGCCCCATCTGTGGAGAGAGAGGTAGCAGTGTGAGGAGGGGCAGGCCTTTCGCTGCCTGCGCCCCTCTGCTCAGCCCCATCTTAGAGATACGGGCATGGAGGCTGGGGTCTGATTCTGGGTGAGGGGCTGTTGGTGACCCCCCCAACAGAGGGTGCTCCCTGGCTTGGCACCCACCCCATCAACCCAGCAGCCCACTTTTTAGGAAAGACTTGGAAGTGGGCAGAAAGTAGGATCATTTGGAGAAACCAGCTGCTCAGATGGAGCTTCCAGATGTTGCCTGCAGGGGGCGGCTTTGGCCAGCAACTCCAGGGCACAGGGCCTATGCAGACGCCAGAGGCATGACCAGGCTGGCACCTCTGTGTCCCTCCAGCTGCTGGAGGCCACACTTCAGGAGCAGGGTGGGCATGGGACACCCCAGGACCCAGATCACCCTGTGTCTGGGCAGGTGGATTCCCCCATCTTCATTTGGACTGGCATGGCCAGAATCCCACTTACCCAGGGGCTGGAACCCATAGTACTACCAGCCCTGGCCCTGTGCTCAGACCCCCCCCACAGGGGGGGAAATGAAGGCTTGGGGGTGATGCACTAGCCCCAGAGAAGCCGAGGGCAATCTCAGGTCCTGCGCCCACAAGCCCTGCACCCCAGCCCCTTCCCCTTGGGGCTCTGTGGGTGGGCAGAGGTCCAGGCAGAAGCTGCCCACAGGAAGCTGGGCTGGGGTTCACCCCTCCCTGGCGGTGGGGGCCCTACACTCTCCCCCTGGGGACTCGGGAGTCCCTGATGGTGCCTGAGAACAGACATGGACCAGAGAGTAAACAGGCGTCCCCTTCCTGCACCCATGCCCCCACCCACACGACCCCATTAGGCCAGACGGGACAGGCCCCTGGCCCACCATCAAAGGGGACCATCAGCCCCTGGGCTGACAGGCTGCTTCCCCCTTACAGGCCGGCCCTGGTGAGTTGAGTGACCCCGGCGGTCCTGAAGGTGAGGGTCGGGGAAGCGGCACGTGACACCAACCCTTCCTGTAGACGAGTGTGTTGACCTCGGCCTCCGTCTTGGCCCGGGGCAGTGTCCTTAGCCAGCAGGTCTCGTCCTCCAGCTGCAGGGTCAGGGGTGGGCTCTGCAGAGGAGGGACCCAGCGGTCACCCTCCCACTGTGGACGTCATCAACACAGGGAGGGCCCCGCCCCTACAGGCACTTCTCTTTGTGCGGCCATCGCGCCAGCCAGTTGGGGCATCAGCGGTGCCAAATCACCCCAGGACCCCAGGCTGGGCTTGTCCTTTCCCAGGGTCACTGGGGGTGCACAGATGGGAAGCCCAGAGGTTCAGTGGCCAGTGCGGAGTCACATATCAGTCTGGGGCTGAGCCGGGGCCCACACCTAGTGGACGCTCTTGGACACTCCCAGCCCCTTCACTGGGCCCCATGAGCCCCAAGAGCGATGGGCAGCCTTTTGGGGGTGATGGTGGGGTCCGGCTTGGCCTCAGCTCCTCCAGCGAGGTCTCCAGACCTCCAAACAAAGCTTGGTGGGCTGTGGTCCACATCAGCCCTGAAAGGCTCCATCCAGCGGGTGCCACGCTCCCCTAGGCCACCTGCACTGCCTGCCCCCAGTCTCTTGGTCGCTCCCTAGAGCCCAGCACCCCTAGACAGATGTCCTGTTCCGAGCATCTGAAGCCTGCTCCCGCCTTATCTACCAAAAGACTTTTCATCCTCGTAGCTGACTGGGGTGGTCCTGCCTGTAGCCACCTGGAAGGGGCTGTTCTGAGCCCCAGTTCCTTCCCAATGGGCAGTGGGGGGAGGGGGGAGGCCCTGAGCCGTCTTGACATGGGGGACAGGCCAGAGCCCAGCATTGGTGCTGCCACCTGTTTGCTGGGAGCCTCATGCTGTTGCCTATGATGCAGGGTCCCCTGGGCACTGGGGTGCAGGGATCTCAGGTAGGCCTGTGCAGGGGGACACCCGCCTGCTGTGCCCAGGGGCTTCATGCCCACCGGGTAAGGGCTGGGCCCGCTCTCCCAAGTGAAGCAGGCCACAGGGAGCCCTCGGGGTTCGGACCCCCACAGAGAGCAGAGGGCTGTGGAGCACAGCCGGACACAGAACAGGGCCCTTGGGCCAGCCCAGTGCCTGTGGCCCGGACCCCTCACCGGCCCGTGCGGTGGAGCCTGGACTTCCGCCTCCGGCGCCAAGTGCACTAATGAATAATGATGAGCGGAGGAGGGTGAAAAAATTAATCTGCCTGATCCCTGGATGGCTGCTGCGGTAACGATATGAAATCTAATTATTCGTCCCAATATTTCTAAACCCTCAAACTGAGCCTGACAGGCTGCCGGCCGGTTTAACGCTTATCACTCCGGGAGCAGAGTGTTCGCAGCAAGATAAAGACTCCAGCAACACTGCTGACACTGCAGAAGGGGCACCGCCTGCCCGCAGTGCCCCCCAGCACCCAAACACATACTGGGCACCCACCAGGCTCTGTGTCACTTGGGGGAGGTGCCTGCTGTGCCCCCATTGTCCGAACATGCATGTGGCACCCACCGGGCTCTGTGTCAGCTGGGGGAGGCCCCACCCACCTGCTGTGCCCCCCATTGCCCTGAACATGCACGGGGGCTGGGGCCGGGAGGAGCAAGCCAGACTGTTTGAAGGACACAGCGCCATGGCCCCAGCCTGCTTCCCACCCATGGCCCTGGTCTGCGGTGGGGTGGGCAGGGCTGGTGTTGCATGTCCCTCTGCCTGTGGGTGCTGGCCATCATTGTGGAAGAGGCCAGCCCTGCCCTTGGAAGTAGGAGGTCCGTGGGCTAGCTCCATGCCCTCTCTCCGGTGGCAGACCTCAGAAATCATCCAGGTCCCCTGCCAGAGTCTGTTGTGGCTCTGAGCAGGCGGCCGCAGCAGCCTCTGGCTCTGCCATAGGCATGGACACTGTATCACCCAGGCCAGCAGTTTTCTTGTCCTAGCTCAGACCGCCCCCCAGCATGAAGGCCCCAGGCTGTAGGCATGGGGGTGTGGTTTTAATTTCCCAGCCTGGCCACCCCCAAGTTCAGGGCCCTGTGTGGCCTGGCTCCCTCGCCCTGACTGCCCCCCACCCCAGCTGATCTGCCCCGGTACGGCATCCACTTTAAATTCTCCACGGCTCTGAGAACTTGCCTTGTTTCCCCAACAAAGAGGTCACTGTGCGCTGCCCGCTGGGAGAGATACCATCAGAAACCCCATCTCCACTGCATCCGATCTGACAACTTGGGGGTGGGAACGGGGGCGCATCCCTGAAGGTAGGGTGGTGGGCTGGCTCCCGACCCTGCTGGGGAGTGACCATCCTGACGGCTTGAGTGGGGGGCTCAGCGGCAGCACTGAGACCCAGGGGCCACAGAAGGGGGAGGGACATATGGGGATGGGCTGAGGTAGGTGCTGATGGCGGCTCCCCCACTTACTTTGGCCTCACCTGCCCGAGATGTGCACACTCATACCTGGTGGCCAAGGTCCCCCCTGTGCCCCTGCCTTACTCCCAGACCCAGCAAGGTCTCCCATCCCTTGGTGATGACCCTCCCCATTCCAGCAGTGTTGTCTTCTCACAGCTGGCCATCCACCCACCCACCCATCAGTCCACTCCTCTGCCCACCCTCCCACCCATCTATCCATTCAGCTCCCTGCCCATCCATCCACACACTCATCTACCTACCCACCCACCCATCCATCCATCCATCCATCCATCCATCCATCCATCCATCCATCCATCCCTCCATCCCTCCATCCCTCCATCCCTGTCCATCTCTCTGCCCGCTTATCCACCCATCTGTGTCTCTGTCCATCTGGCTACTCATCTGTCCCTGTCCACCCCTCCACCTGCCCACCACCCTGTCTACCACCCACCAGGGGTGTCTTTCACAGCCCACTTGGCTTGGATATGTGCTGGACCTTGGTTCTACAGAGGGGAAGCCTGGTCCATGGCCACACAGCAGCCAAACCTGTACCAGGACATCCTTGAATCCCGTGCACCCTGACCTCTGGTGAACCTCTGGAGCCATCCTGCCCTCCAGGCCCCCAGGGGTGGGGAGGACTATGTGGGGAAGGGTGGCCACATCCGATCCGCAGCCCCTCCCTCCCTCCTTCCCGCTGGAGCAGCGGAGACAGATGGGCCAGGGGCTGATAGGGTATCTGGGGAAGGCCGGCAGGGAGGGGAGGGGAGAGAGCTGGGCCTCGTCAGCCGGGTGCGATAAGGGGCCCGCTGAAATGTTAGCAAAAATATTTAGACAATAAACGAAGTATCAGGGCAGCCTGCGTATCTCCGCGAAATCAATCATCTTGTGCCTGAGTCCGGACACTTGGCGCCGAGGCAGAGATAGCGGCCATGCCGGGGAGATAAGGGTTAACCAAGGGTTTAATTCTGCAGCAGATAAAGCCTGGCGAGAAGGAGCCGGGCTTCCTTGGAGGCCCCCAGTGCCGGCCCCTCGCAGCCCTGGGAAGCTTCCAGGCTGGGGCCAAGGCTCCCCGGTGACAGGACATGCACCCCAAAAGAAGGAGGGGGTGTTGGGTAGCTGGGCCAGGACCTAGCCTAGACCAGGCAGGGATGCCTCCTGGGGCTGGGCAGCCACCAGAACCCCATTTGCCTCTCCTGGCTGCTTTGGGCAAGTGCTTGAACTTCTGACAGCCTCAGCCTTCTCATCTGTGAGATGGGAGCAGAAGCCTGCTTCACTGGGCTGGGGGTGGTCAGAAAGTGAGGGTGTCCCAGCGTGTCTGGAACACATCCTGTCCAGCTTGGGTGGAGCTGGACTGGACTGAGAGGGGACACGCCCACAGCCCTAGCCCCCAACTCAGCCACCCCAGTCTTCACCCAGTCACTGAGGACGGGTGTGGACCCCGTTTAGAACCCAGAACCCCCCGCCCACTCACCTCCCCTTCCAGCCCTGTTGCTTATATGAGTCCACTAATTCCTGAGTCAGCATCAAACAGCAGTCTCTCCACAATCCTGCCGCTGCCCTCTGCGCTCAGCACCCAGGTACCCTCACTGGCTGTCAGTTGACCTCCTCCCGGGCTTCAGTCTGTACCAGAGAACTGTGGCTCCCGGTACTCACCACACCCAAAGGACCAGGGACACGGGCAGTGCCAGGTGCGGTGGACGCCCCGGGCACCTGTGTAGCCCCTTGTCCACCAGAGCTGTCCCCACACCCCTGTTCCAGCCAGGCCAAGAGTCCTGGGCTGCCCTGACCCCAGGTGGACCCCACCCTGGGCATCATCCTCTCCTAGGGGCAGACAGGCCCGGCTAGCCCCTTCCCAGGTGCACGCAGCCCTCTGCGGTCAGGTCGGTGTGCAACTGACCCCTCACCCAGGTCTTCCGCTTGCAGCCTCAACTCAGGTGTGCAGGTGCTGCCTAAAGATCCCATGCAGGAGGCCCTCCCCTTGCGTCCCCCACCCTCTAGAAAGCACCTCCCCACCGAGTCTGCATCCCCTTACCGGTTGCCCCTGCTGGGGGGACGAGGCTTCATGGTGGACGCTGCCAGGGAACGGGCCCCAGGAAATGCCGGCAGCCAAGCCTTGCCGGGCCCGCACACTCTGCTGCCCATTGTCCTGCAGTACTGGTTCCAACTCGTCTGCAGAGACAGCGGGTGAGAGGAGAGGGGTGACCTTCTGGAGCCACGGGATGCTGGCTGGGCTGGGCCCGCACGGGCAAGCAGGCAACTTGTGCCCTGGCTGCTGTGTTCTGGACTGTTGGGCCTGGGCTGGAGGTCAGGGGACCTGGTGTGTGGGCATCAAGGTGGACAGGAGGCCTCTCTGCTGCCTGCACCCATCTGTCCTGTCTGCTCTGGGTCCATGTGTCCCCAAGCCATGTCCACGTCCACGGAACCTGGACCATGGCTGTACCAGCAAACGGTCTTCACAGGGCAGCTGGCCCAGGATGGACGGAAGGAAAGAGCGAGGCTGCCCAGGGTCACACTGTGTCCTTACAGACACGGACACGAGAAGACAGAGCAGAGAGGGACATGATGTGGCCACAGGCCAGGGTGCCCCTCTGGAAGCTCCGTGGGAGCGTGGCCCTCCTGGCACCTGATTTCAGACCTCTGTGGTGTCAGGACCCACTGCCCCTCAGAGTCCCAGCGAGGCTTGGGTCTCTGGGTCCACTGTTCAGGACCTCCCTTCCTTCAGGGTGGTGTGAAGGCTGAGTGACAGGTCGGTGAGGAAACTGAGGCAGGTTCAGCTGAGCAAAACTAGAACTAAGTTGGTCAGGGTGACTGGCAGGGGGCAGCGACGCCAGAATGCCCCCTTCCCCTGGGGCCTCTATTAAGTCCTGGGTCCCAGAAGGCAGCCCCCCAGGGCAGTGGCCACAGTGCAGGCCTCCCAGGACGCAGTTGTGGCCATGGGCCCTGCTGGCCACCCTCCCCTGGGCTATGTGCACAGGGCTCGGTGACCAGGGGGTGGGGGTGGGGCCCGCTCCCTGTCCTCTCAGGGGGGCTTCCTCTGGCCACACCGCCTGCCTTCTGGTCGCTGCTACCAGGCTGGAGGCCTCCCTTGGCCTGGCATGGTCTCTGGCCGGAGTGCTGGGCAGTGGCCCCACTTCCTGGAGCCCCGCTCCCTCGACAGGCTGTGGCCTTAATGGGCCTGATGATCAGATAAAGCTCAGCTAATGGCAGCGATAGCATGTAAATTCGCTGGGAGGCCCTGCTTAAACGCTCTAACTGGGCCTTTGTCTTCCCAGGCAGATAAGATGGCAATATACCAATAACCACATGGAGAGGAGGCTGGGGGTTCTGCACCCCGCTATCCATCCGCCTACGGCTGGGCACTGGATACGGGGTGTGTGTGTGTGTGTGTGTGCCCTGCTGCCCTGACCCAGTGGGCTCTGGCGTGGAGGGCTGCACGTGTGGGCAGGGAGGCGGCCTGGCTTTCACACGCTGCCCTGAGGATTCACTCAACCTCCGAGTTGGCCTTAACAGTGAGGACGGCAAGGCCCGAGAGTTCACCGAGCCCCACGCCGCGGGTCCCTGCGTATACCCTGCTGGGTTCCCCTGGGCAACCTGCCCCTTGTGCCTCCATCTGTCTATCCGTCCGTCCATCCATGGCCTGCTCTGCCTCTGCCTGCTGCTCAGGTGGAAGGAAGGAGGTCTGGGGTGGATGTGCCGCCCTCCGTACCAAGGGGTAGCTCCTGATGGCCGGGGCTCCAGCCAGGCTGCTGACTGACGCTGCCCTTCCACAGGGTCCACCCACACCCCTCCGGCCACATGTCCCTGCTCACACCTGTCACAGCCATCTCTGTCCACACCTGCCACAGCTGTGTCTCTGTCCACACCTGTCACCGCTTCATGTCTCTGTCCACACCTGTCCACAACCACATGTGTGTGCACACCTCATAACCATGTGCTTCCACTCACACCTCTCCTGCAGACACAGCTGCCTGGCGTCCTCCAAGGCTCTGGGGGTACTTGAATCTCCAGTCCCCACTGCCTATCCCAGGCCGCTTAGAGCCCAGGTAGACCGAGACCCTCCCCTACTACGCAGAAGCAAAGGGGGAGCAGAAGGCGGGTGCGCATGGGGGTGGGATGTGTGCAGTCCCTGCGGTGAGTGAGAGGCCTCTCAGAGGGTGCTGAGTAGAGGGTGGGAGCCAGCCTGGACAGGGATGGGCAGGAGGGCCGGACGGTGATGACTGCAACCCACATGACGGGGGACACTGAGGCCCGAGAGGGCAAGCTAGTGCCCTAAGGGTGTGCAGTGGTCAGCCGGCTCAGCTGGAGGCTTGGAGAACCAGGGGAGGGCGCTGCTGGAGAAGAGATGGAGGCCAGCAGGCGGGGGTGGGGAGGGGTGGTGGTGGTGGTGGTTCTTCTCCGAGAGAGGGGCCAGCTCCCAGCCCAGGGCTACCAGGGCCATCCCTATAACCCAGCCTTGGGACAGGGCTGGCCCATTTAGTGCTGTTCTCAGAACAAGTCCAGGGCTCAGCTTCTCCACAGTCCTCAGCAAGGGCTCTGCGGACTGCACCGGCCGGTCAGCCCTGGCAGAGGGCAGGGTCTCCTGGTGAGGCCCTGCTTGGGCATCCCGCCCGCACCCTCTCTGTGCCTCAGTTTGTCCACCTGTAAAGGGAGCATCCCACATGGCCACCTGGTCTGATGGGCTTGCAGCTGAGAGGAGAGGGACACTCTGTGGCCACTCCTCCTGTCCCGCCTGAATGGCCAAGTGGATGCAGCGGGGACCCAGCAGGGAACCAGCCAGAAACAGCCTCTGAGCTGCTGGTCCCCTGGCCTGGCCCCCTCCCCCTGCCCACCCGCCCCTCCCACGGGGCCTCTAAGAGATGCCAGCCCTGCCTGCGGTTGAGCCTCACTGCTGAGCCTGCCACTCCAGTGTGACCCCACAAGGGCCCCCTGCACAGTGCCTCTTCCCTGGGTTGGTGGACTATCTGGGGGGCCTGCCCTTGGCTTGGCTGGGGTCCCCAGGAAGAGCCACACTGCAGCGTGTGGGACAGGCTCTCCCTGGGCCTGTGATGGACCCTGACTCCTGCCAATACTGATCTCCCACATGGACATCTGCCTGGCTCTGCAGCTGGGGACAGAGTCCGGGAGCTGGGAGCTGGAGTGGGCCTTCGGGGGCCGCCCAGAAGGAGGGCGGCCACCTGCCCCAGGCCTGCCTCCACCTGAACCAATACTTCCTCTCCCGCCAGCTGGCCTCTTCTTAAAGGGCCAGCCCCACCACGCCCTGCACGTGGTGGCCTCCTGGGTTCAAAGTCCGGGCGCTGGCTGCCCCTCCCAAACGGTGGCCCTGTGGTCGTCATGGGGAGCCCACCGGGTCCCCTCGGTGCCCCCGTATCTAATCAGCCATCGCTCCTCCTGGCCCGCCCAGTGGCTCGGGGGCCAGCTGGCCCCGGCTTATCTGGGGATCACACTGTTTGCCTTTGATAAAAGTCACAAAAAGGAAAGAAAAAGGAGAGGGGAGGGAAGCCGGGATCTGAGCAGGCCCCGCCCTGGAAGGTTCTAGAAGGTTCCTTGGCTGGCCAGGAAGGCTGGTATGCCCGACGAGTGGGCGCCAGGGAGCAGCCGCTAAACAGACGCCCTGCCCCGCCTACCAATCACAGGACCCCCTCCGCCCCCCACCTGCCCACCAGCCATCCCCTCCCCCAAGCTCATGAGTGGGGCAGTTCCTGGGGGCTGACAGCAGGAGGCGCTGCAGGGCAGCACTGACCCACATGCTGCTGGGGGCTGAGGGTGGTCCTGACCACTGCAGCCTCAGTCTCCCCATCTGTGCAGTGGGTGTGAACGGCCCCTCCTCACTGGCCCGCGTCTGCGTGCCTCCCTGCCCTGGCCACTCCCACCTTCAGTGCAACCCAGAGCTGACCTGTGGCCCACTGGACCGTCCACTTAAGGCTGAGGACCAGTGACGTGGCGAGTGTTTTGGAAAAAGGTGGCCTCTGCCACCCAAACCCGGGTGGGGACCAGGACATGGGAGCAGGCACGCAGTAGAGCTCACCGCCCACAGCCTGGGAGCAGGGGCAGCTGGCGTCCAGGCAGAGGGCTGTGCTGGCCCAGAACGCACTGCTCTGTGTCTCTTCTCCCAGCCAGAAGTCACCTCCTCTTACCTGGGCTCCAGCTGCCACCTCAGCTGAGCCACCCCCTGCCTCCAGGCCGGGGGCCAGGCACAGGGAGTGTGGGATGCCAGGCCAGGCACCCGCGCTGCGACCCTCTGCTCTGGCTAGGCCCACCTAAACAGGCAGCCAGGGCAAGGCCACCCCTCCCCCTTCCCCCACCCACACCAGCTGGTGCCTGTGAACTTGCTCCCTATCTCTGAGGCCCATCTCTGAGCTTATTGATTTTTTGACACAGAACACCAGCCCATCGTATCAGGCTGAACCCTGGCCCCGACTAATGGGCTCATGGCGGCGTGCGAGTAGCTCTGGGTGGGGCCCAGGTCCCCTAGCCAGGGCCTTTGGGCCAGCAGCGGTTAAGCCTGGGGGCAGGGGGTGGCCGGGCCGGGGGAGCTCTTCCCGTAGCCCCGAGGGAGCTGACAGTCAGGCCCTGGTGAGGTTCTGTAGGGTGCCTGCCTTGATTTGGTCGGGTCACCCTCTCTGAACCGTGTTGTGGCCCCTGGGGGCTGTCACAGACACCTCTGCCCACCCTGCACAGCTAAGACCCTGATGGGCTGCTAACTGTGAAGTGCTTGGGTCCAAGCCAGCAGCCCCATGGAGAGAGAAAGATGAGGCGTCTGCTCCTGTAGTCTCGCCGTGGAAACGCTGGGGGTGGCTCTGCTCTGTCCCATAGGGTTGCTGAGAGCTGAGCTCTCCGGGCCAGCAGATGGGACACCCCTGCCCCCACCTCCCCGAGGGGCCTTAGAGACTGAGCCTTCCCACTAACCCCAGCTTGTGGCCTGGCTCTCTCTTGGGCCTCGGCCTTCCCACCTGTGCAGTGGGGAGAGTGGCCCGTCAGCCCCAGAGCCTGGCACTGGCCCTGAGGGTGGAGGAGGAGGCTTGTGATGGACACCTTGTTTGCACAGGGGGTGTTTTCTCAAACCACCTGCCCCTGTCCCCGGCACCTGTCCCTGGCACCAGCCCCCATCCTTGGCACTGAGCCCTACCTCCTGACCCCAGTACCAGCCCCGGTCCCGGGCACTGGCCCTT